GTTGCATCCTAATCTAGCACATGTTAAACAGCATCTGTGCAGTGGTTTTACTGATCAGCAACAATGAAACACAGACTCTGCTTTTTTAAATTCTCTGCACCAGGCAAGAGCTGTGCAGACCAGAACTTTATTTCCTAATGAGAAAGGAGGAAATACTGATGATACACAGGTGCAGTAAGAACTAAATCTAGAGACAGTTTGTGTTTACAGAAAAACAGACCCACAACTAGGTAATTACAAAAACATTTAAAACAGTCCATAATGAAAGAACCCCTTCATTTCTTGGTTAGAGTTGTATCAGTGATAAAATGTAAATGGGTCTGCTGCACCATATAGTAACAGAAACAGGATAAATACTGATGTGCATGGAAGGGACTACGCAAGTCCCACTAGCACCATCTCAGCCCTGACCTGGAGGCTGGAGGGAAAACTCTGCTCTGCAGAGGTATAGGAGATTCAATTGCCTTCTTGGCCTAAGCTGGTTTGCTCCTGAGCAGACAGTGTCTAGGTACCACTCCAAGGGAGAGTGGTTGTGATATGAATAAACATCTGTTGAGGAGACCAGCAAGTATTTTAAACTTCCTGAGGAGCACAGCTTGGCTGCATACAGACAGACTCCACCTTGTTTTGGCAGAGCAGGAGCCAAGCAAGAACTGCTGACTTCAGTTGGATCACTGGTTCCCTCCTATGCAGATTCTATATATTAGAGATGCCAACAGTGCAAAGACAATTAGAGCAGATGGTGTTGTTTCAACCAAGTAGACTCACTAGTAAGACACAGGGAGGAAAAGCATTCTTGGTTTACAATTATCCACTGGGTACTTCAATCACAGGAACAATACCTAAAGCAGCTGGCCCATGTCAGTAGCAAGAGCCTCTGCAGTTGGTTCAGGCCTACTACTGCCTATCTAGTCCAAGCTTTTGCTCATTAGCAGTGTAGGATTCTTTTCTACCCTGTGGTTTCTTGGCCTTTGTAAGTGACTATTTTTGGAACATATTTCTAGTTTATACCATACCATGTGTGAACTTGGCTTTTAGGTAACTCAGGAGGTCAGAGCCTGGATTTTACCTGCAATACCATGGCAACACTTCACAAAAAGCAACTCTAGTAACAGCAGCACAGCAAATAACTTACCTCGCCTTCTCCACAAACTACATTCTGGACAAGGCTCTGAAGACATCTACTCTAACTGGCAAGTTATAGAGTACACTATAGAGGTGTGCAGTGCATACAAAATGAGCATTACAAGGGGTAGGATAATTGCACCAGAATACAAAGCATGACGCCCCCTAGCTGTGGCATATCATGAAATACAGTAAGCCACAGCAGAGTGGTTTCAGAGCAACAATGGAGTCTAGACTATTGCACAGATCTTAATGGAGACCCAAACCTACCTTTTCAGCTGTCAGCCTGGTATATTTGTACCATGCCAGGGTACCCCAGAGAAGGCATCCCTTGGTCTTGACTCACTGCTTCATTCATTTTAAGACAGTTGTAGAATTAAGTTGCTGACGAGTGTGGAACAAGAGGCTCTGTCTACACCAGCACCATAGAAGTTTCAGAGCTGTATTTTGAACCTAGCATTCATATTTGAAAGTGGTCTGGCCAATAGGAGTTCACTAAAGGCACTCACTCTGAAGCCCTGGTTGACCACATATATCAGAGATGACCAAACTTACTGACCTGCATAAGATGGTCTGGAGACAAGGAATTTGGATAGAGTTTCTGAAGACTCACACCCCCAGCCACAACACTCACTGCCCACCCCCCACGCCCTGCCCCACATAACTTCCACACAGAGTAAAATTCATTCCATGCATTGATGTAAAAAATTAGAGGGAACATTGCCTACTAGTGATGTTTTTATAAGATCTTATTAAAAGGACTCTAAACTAGTGCTGGACAAACCCCTCTGCCCTGCACTTTACATGGTACATGTTTTGCTCTGGAAACCGAAGTATTATGGATAGGCCCAGGCCCACTGCCTTTTTCATTCCTAATAGCTTTAGACTCATGTTCTTAGAGAGGTTTGGGATACAGTGAGAGGATCAGCATCAGCCTTAAGCTACAACATGGTTCCATCTTTGTGTCTAACAGTCAGACTAGGAAACAGACTACAGTGAGTAGCATGGGCAGAGGAACAAGATAGCCAGCACTACTACTTAACTAGTGAATGAAGGTAATGAATCTATGTTCCCATGGTGTCTCATGGCAGTGGCTGGACTCCACCAATGCTTTTTGCTCTGGGGTACCAATCTCCTGCCCTCTGCTACAGTGGCCACTGAAGTGGCAGGGAAGGTGGGATTTATACTGAACTAGCTCGTTTGGAAATAATTTTTTCTCCACGTTTTGCTCTTTCATGGTGAATATAGTCAATCTCCTTGCACCGCCCTAGGAGAGAGATACAAGAGCTCTAAATTGGTGGTCCCAAATCCAGGATGTAGGCTGCAAGAGAACAATGGAAGAGCCCTCAGGTAGTCCTCAACTAGGGTTACTTCACTGAAGAAGCTTGTGGAAGATACAGACAGACAGTCTTATGAGTTCATTCACCCTTTGCCAACAGAGGAACTTGACCACTGCCGTAATCAGCTGTGATCATGATGATCTGCAGTACGATTCCAGCTTTTGTGGCTTGGACCATCCATGAGACCACCACACATTTTTACACTGCTGCATCCATAAAAGGCATCTCAGTCCTGGAAAACAGTCCCTTGGGGGAACGCATGTAGATAGTATTCTCTCTAGTCTCCAATCACTGTTCCCAGAAGAGGACTTGGGTGCGGAATCTGTCACAATTTCTGTAACTGGTATAGGAGGGCTTTTCCTTCAGCCTGGGGGTTTCTCTCCCAGAGCCTGCCTAAGAACAGCAGCTGTTACAAATGCGTGAAGCTGCTGATATTCCTCTCATAAATGATAGGCTCAGCAGCTGTTACAAATGCGTGAAGCTGCTGATAGAGCCTATCATTTATGAGAGGAATAAGGAAGGCAGGCAGACAATTACTGTTGAGATATAAGCAGCACATCTGTGAAAGTATGTAGACCACATGCACTGTGGATTCGCATAGGAACAAACCAATACAACATCTACTTCTTTACTAGTCTTGAAAAGTGGTCAGCAACAAATGCTTCAGAAGAATTTAAACCCTTCTAATGCATGTAATCATGCAGCTACACTTTGAAAGAGGATATTCATGTCTGGCCCCAGCTAGTGAATGCACTGAAAGATGAGTTCTAAGAGACCTTGAAAAACATCTAGCTGTCATTCATTCAGAATTCTATACTATGGTCTCAATTTCACTCTGTATAAACAAGCCACACAGCTTGAATTACAGGGTGGGACAAAGTATTTGCTTCATCTATTCTATACCAATGATCTTTTAGAGCCACTGAGCTTGTCCTTCCCTGTTCAGCATCATTAAATGCTGACTCTTCTCAATTGCACTCTTCTGTCCATCTACAGAGAAGGAAGGGTGCAATCTATGAAGGGGACATCCTACTCAGTCACAGTAATCAACTTTTAGGTATCTAGAGAAAAAAATCCAAGGCATACCACAGTGATGCACAAAGCCAAGTTAGGCACCTAGACTCTCAAAATGAATGGGGAGAAATAGGGGCCTTAGGACTCAATCCACAAGAGTTAGTGTGCTAGGTTGGAAGCCACTTCAGCTTGAGGTATGTGGTAAACCTCACTTCTCTCAGAAATAGCCAAGCTCCACTTAGTTATCCACAAATGAGAATTAGCTTCCTGGAGTCACTCAGCCCCTAAGGCATTTAAGGAAATTAGTTAAGCACTTGCCTTGTTCCACACAAAATGGCAGGAGCTGGAGTCAAGATGTGAGAGATCCAGGTTCAATTCCACCTCCTGCTCCAAAACCTCTCTCCCATCCCCTAGTGTGAACAGAGGCTTCCTCTTCTCAGAGGTACGGGTCTAATCAGGCATGTTCTGATTTGGGCCTCTTTTCTTCTTCTCTTGAAAGTGATTAAATACTTAAAAACAGTCACTGGAACAAAGTGAGGGGAAATGACTCAGGACTTCAGTGATCAGGGAACACAGGCAGGAGACTCCAGTTCCAGTCCTCCTATTCCAATCATGATTTATGTTCTGGAGACTGGTACCTGTGTCACTTGTTAAATTCTTCAGAATTAGTCTGCAGTTCTGAGTAGCCAGTAAATTATGCGACTTCCCTATACAATCTTTTTTCCTGGTTACGTACCATACTGCAGAAAGGACAGCAAAAAAGGAGCTTAGACTGGCAAACTGCAGAGAGAGGCACAGAATAACTGTTAGTGAAACACTGTGATTAGATACCTATTAAGGGGCCAGTGAGAGCCTTCTGGAACAGCACTTTAAGGGTCAATACTGTTTTAACTGACATAAGAGCAGTGCATGCTATTACTTGATGTAAGGCCCCATTTAACACTACCAAAATAGCTGCAGTCCACCCATAGTATGCCAGAATGCCCACTTACCTACCATAGTTATAGTCTGAACCATGCTTCCAACACGTATTCAGGCAGGAAAGAATACAGAATGTTCCAACACAATTTGGATACTGCCACAGTCCATATATGTTTAGACGTTTTTGGAGGGAAACTGGACATAATGTTAAACATTTCAACAGCTTCTAGCTATCTCAGCATACCTCAGGCTTGATCCCCTAATGCTCTTACTTCCCTTACTGCTCTGAATCAATTCTGCCATGAGCTGCAGCACCCCTGGCATGCCAAGTCCTGGGCCCCAAACACACACACCTGCCAATGGCTCCTCACTTCTGAACTGTTTAGCTGTGTCTCTCGGTTGAATGGAAATGTTGTGAGCTGCCAAGGCTTTAGTTAAGTGTAAGGGCCAGCCCCTCTTGCTGGAGAATGGTAATCATTAACAGTGCTGTAAAATACCCTGTCAGGGAAAAACAAAACAGGAGGAGGAGAAGCACACAGTTGTGCTCCCTGCTCCTAGGACTAAGATATTTTGACTGCAGCAGACTTGTGCTCCCTGCTCCTAGGACTAAGATAGTCTGCTGCAGTCAAAATAGGTTAGACTGAAGAGTGAAGAGAAATGGAATACCTGGGAGCAAGATTCTCCAAAGACATTTCAATCTTGATTGGGTTGGCAGGTGTTGTCCTACAGCAACAGCGCAGCACCCCATCTGATATCACCCTGAGAAACATTTCCCCACCGTATCACCCACTAGCATTTGTCACCTGAAAGCATCCTGACAGAGTACCTCAGAGAATTTGCTGTGACAGTGCCCTGTGTGTTCCTAAAGGCAGTATGCCTCAGTTTTAGGGGCACTCCAACAGGCATTGGCCAGCTGTGGATGTAGAAAAGGAGTGGGGGTGAACAGGCCAACAACAGGACCACAACTTGCCATCTTATTTTGTGTAAGGTTTCGTCAGCACACTGGCCCTTTGAGCAGAGTGTATTGGAGCCTGCATGAATCTGAGCATCCAAGAAAGGGAGCTCTTTCGTAAAAGTGGAACTCAGTTCTGTAAGGGGCACGTGCAAGGTGTCACAGTAGTAGTTTCATAAGCACAAGAGCTAAAGGGAATTTGAAGCAATAGTGCCTTGAATATTCCAGAGTTAAGCAGGATGGGAAGGAAGAGGCCCCCCAGGAGATTAAATGCTATAATTCAGAAAGGACAAAGTGAAGCTTTTTTCTTTTCTGCACAGAAATATGCTCATGTGCATCAGAATCACTTGCTTTCTAGTGGATCTTGCACCTCAGTGGCCAAAGCTTTCCCTGCAACTTCCAGTGACCACTGCTGAGACGGGAGAGGGGAAGGCACAATTTCCAACCATCCTATTGGCTTAACACCCATCACCACAGAGAGCTGTCCAGCAGTCTATTTCCTGATCAGACTGTCATGAAGGGAAACATCCACATCAACTCACAGGAACAGAGAAACACTCACCCCCCTCAGCGACAATGAGATACCGGGGGACAATTGCAGACCAGATGAAATGTTACAGTGGTAAATTAACCACATAAGAGGACCTCAACACCACTGGCAGGCTGCATTGTCATTAGCAATGCAAGTGTTAATGATTCCAGGCCTTATTCCTCATCCCTATGGGCACAAGGGATGGGGAAGGTGATCGTGCATTTCACTCACTTCCTCCCCAACAAGAATGACAGTAGGAAAATACACAAGTTACAAAACCAGAAATCCTTCCTCCACCAGAGGCAGGGGGCTTCCCATTCCAATATCCTCCCCTCCTTCAAGCCCAGGGGCTTTGTGGTGGCTTGAGACCTTCATCACAGAAGAGGAAGAGGCACTGTTGAGAAAATACCCCACTTGTCTTTTGTCAGCCCAAAGGATTCCATGCAAAGCCTGAGCTCTGATGGCCTCACTAGCTCCATCTCTCACCATGTTGCAATAGGAGCCTTCTCAAGCACCTTGCAGGACCTTTCCATCAACTGGCATATCTGTTCTCTTAAAAACTTGTTTTGTTGAATTAAAAAGTGCTATTCTGGAGAAGACAGGCAGGCAACTCATCTGATGCCCAGGAGATAGCTCTGGGGTAGGCCTGATAGAAGTACCTTGGAAGACCAGCTCTCCACTCCTACTTCCCCATATTAAGCTTGCTACAGGTGGATCCTGGTCTCAAGTGTGGCCAGCAGGGTCCATGGCACCAGGCACACAAGGCGCACCTCTTCACACCCGGATTTGATACCCATTGAGGTCTGGCATGGCTTTGGATTCAGCAGGCTTCTTCTCGCCTGACAGCCTGTGAAGAAAGAGGGAAGCAGATATTCAGAGGTAATCTCAACTTCTCCTCTGACAGGGCAGCCACACAGAGTGAGAGGTGCCAGCATGAGAAGAGGCATTTCATCCCCTACTGCTTGCATGACAGGGGGAGGAGGTGAGCTCTTCACCTGGCCAACATCCTCAAGTGAATGGAATACAGAGTGGGAATCCTGGCACCTCCTCTTGAGATACTTTACTGGGAAAATAGATTTGGGGTAAGCCTGAAAGCAGGGTCAAAGGCACATCATTTCTCACTGACCAACGATAAAGGTTCAGACGTCTCTTTGGGCATCACGTGTGACCCAATCCACATTAGATGGGCAACTCTCCTCTACCTGCGGCCAACCCCAAATTCCAACTATAGTTTGAAAGTGGGAAGGCAGCAACTCACTTAGGAGAAAGCAGTGACAGAGCTGACAGGCAAAGAGACAGGACAGGAGAGCTCCAATGCAGCTGAGACACATATCCCCTTATGGGCCACACCAAGAGAGTTCTCAGAAATCTACTTTATCCAAGAGTGGGAAGGTATGGAAGGAAATCCTATTGCATGATTGAGAAGATCCTCCAAAAAGCCATTCACCAACCCCACTCACCGTCTCTCCCCACGGCTGTTGCGGCGATGTGGACTAGACTGGCTCCGCTGTGGAGAGGACACATCTTTCCTCCTATCCTTGGTGGGAGATGGTGGCCCTGTTCCTTTGCCAATCTGCAGGAGGAAAACAACAGGTGAAATGGGAGAGGAACTAGGGCCAGCAGTGGCTGGAGAACACAAGGCCCAAGGTAATTCATTCTCTAGGAAGGGGTGAAAGCGAGATGAAAAAAATTCAAGGCAGTGATAGGCATTAAGTAGCTCTCCTGTACTGTACTCTGCCTTCAGAGAGAATCTCAAGCACATCTCTCCACCCAGATCTTCTGAGCAAGTGTGTACCTTGGCTATCAGTCCCATGCCCAGAAGGCATACCTGAAGGCATAGGATTCAGATTCCCAGCTCCTGGACAAGAGCTGCACCCTGATACACAGCATGTACACCCACCAAACAGAGAGGGGTTTACACCCCATTGGGACCAAGGTCTGCAGAAAGAAGAGAAGAATCCTTCCCCTCCTTACTGCGCCTCCCTGCCTCTCTTCCCTCACCCCTCAGCAGGATCTGTTACCTCCGGCATACTTGTGTCAGGATCTAGTTAGAGCTTGGGCACCAAGAACAAAATTCACACCTGCAGCCTCCCACAGCAGCAGCAGGCAGATCTCCCCAGCACTTCCCACCTTCTCACCTTTAACCTCATGTCTCGGGCATGTCTCTCGAGCTCTTTACGGAAGTCCTCACGGCCCAGCTTCTCCACATCCAGGATGGAATGCTTCCACTCAATCTGCTCCACGCTGTGTGGGTCATGGGACACACAATGACCCAGCTTCACTTTTTTGAGGACATGCCAGCAGCGGTGGTACGCCTCCTCATAGTCGAAGATCAGCTCACTCAGCGTGCGGAAGGTGGGTGCCTTATACATGAGCTCCTCACGCCGGCTGATGCCCAGTGCCCCATAGCGGCCCCCAAAGTTTACTCCCAGCACAATGTGGCGGAAGTAGTTCCCTGAGAAGTGAGTTTTGAAGCTGATCGGGAAACGCTCCAGTGTGGGCATGTTGTTGGTGAGGTAACTGGCCCCGTTCAGGAAACAACTGGTGATGCCAAGAAAAGGAGTAAGATTCTTACACCCCATCCCCCACAAACATCTCAACCAGCCTAGACTGGAAAGAAGATTTACTGCTGGGGATAAGGACCTAATTGACAGCCCTAGAGACCAAATCCTGTCTATTCCCAGAGCAGATACAGCTCCTGCCCACCACAAGATACCTCGTGTGTTCTAGGATCAGATGGATTTCTTGGACCTCACTTTCCAAAACAGAACTGCCCACAAAAGGCAGCCAGTTATAATGGCAGTTTTGTGTTGTGGACACCTGTCCTGGTAGGAACTGGGGGGAAGCAGGCCACCATTTAATTTCACACAGAGGCCACCAGACAATTTAGTTAAATTGACCATCACTATCAACCTAGGAGGAACTGGACCTGGTGCCCTACAAGTAAAATGCAACCCGTTCTCCTGAGCCACTGAGGTCCTCAGACTGGCATTTCAGACCAGCATCTGAAGACAACTAACTTTCCAAAACTCACAGGCCAGTTAACTTAGCTTTCTAATGTTTCCTCATCACTGAGGCAACCCTTAAAAAAGAGAGAGAGATGTGGCCCCAGTTGGACTTAGCCTGCTGGGTCCCAGAGGAGGTGTGCTTCCCAGGACTTGTGTGTATGGAGGGACTGTCACAAGTCCAAGACTGAAAACAAGCATTACCCAAGGGACAGTCTGACAGGTTCCCTTCCATGTCTGCCTGCACTGCAAAGAAAATGCAAGGTGATGTATAGTGAGTGAAACATCCCCACCAGGCAACAGAGCTTGACCTGATGCTATTTCCTTTCTGTTTAATCACCACATTCTCCTCCTCTCTCTTCCCCAGTTATGTCAAAAAGGAATAAACACTCAATTCTATGGTGTGGGGGAGAAGAGGCTCTGAAAAACTAGCTCCAATACTCAGGTTCTCTGATTAGCTCCTTGCAATGCACTAGCAGCATGAGAGGGACCTAAGGGAACACGGGGAGTAGAGCTCTGCATGGATACAACATTTATAACCACATCCAATCCATGTTCCGCAAACATGGTCCACAGATATCCGCATCTGATATAAAGTGGATATCCCCAGATTTGCAAGGCTCTACAGAGGGAGAATGCATTAGGGCAGGCACACATGCACATTTTAAAGGGGAAAGGATACATTCCCAGGATCACAGCTTCCAGGCATTTGATTGGCAGGGCCTCTTTGGTCATTTCTTTGGCCAGGTCCATCAGCCTGTTAGACAGTACAAGACGGAGAGACAGAGGAGGAGAATTAAAGGGGTTTGCATTGAACAGGGTTGGTGAATTCAGTCACCGGATGGCGTGTATGCAGGGCAGGTTGCAAGGAGAGAGGAAGACTATTAAGGCAGATAGGAGCGGAAAAAGCCTTTTAGGAATTCAGATTTAGTCTTTTGCCATTCCCTTTCCACACTGCTGCTGTGACATTTCCTCTCATTGAGCCAAACAGGATCCACTCTGTCAGACTCTACTCTCAGCAAGTCTGGAAACATTCCCTTTCATCTCAATGCAGTTCCTCTAGATTATATTCATCCAACCAAGATAAGCTGCCTGAGGCAGGAGGCCAAGTTCCAGAGACACTTTCTTTCCCAAATGTGGGGGCAGGGAAGAGGCTTGCAGAAGCACCAATCAGTCCTAGTCTCCCTGCATTGGTCACAGGCTGCAGAGCATATTCTGCCCTGATCATATCATAAGGTGTGTGGAAAGCCCAAATATTCACTCATGCCTGATGGCTTGGGCCAGCAGCGTTAATGTGGGCACAAGGGTTTGGTTGGCAGACTAAGAGGTCCCTACTTGTGCACATGGAACCTAGTTGCACAAAGATGATTGATTTCTTCCTGTGTGTGTGTTATGGGGCTCACAAGGCACACTAGTGTGGCATGTCCACCACCACTACCTTCTTGTCCTTCCCCACACATTGTTTCTCTTTATAAAAAGTGTCGCAGCGTTAATGTGGGCACAAGGGTTTGGTTGGCAGACTAAGAGGTCCCTACTTGTGCACATGGAACCTAGTTGCACAAAGATGATTGATTTCTTCCTGTGTGTGTGTTATGGGGCTCACAAGGCACACTAGTGTGGCATGTCCACCACCACTACCTTCTTGTCCTTCCCCACACATTGTTTCTCTTTATAAAAAGTGTCCATCACAAAACACACACACACACACACACACACACAATTGCAGAGATGTTTCGCCTTTGAGCTTTACACACAATCCCTCAAAGTCCATGATCTAGAGCAGGGCAGGCTGGATCTAGCCTGTCAAGCCACTGGATCTGGCCTGCAGCCCAGCGTGAACCTAAGGTAGACTCCCTGCCTCTGCATGCCACTCAAAGTGGCCAGCTGCAGGGACCATATGCTCAGTGTGCTGCGAGCCCCTGGGTGGGTGGGAGAGAGGGTTCAGAGGGGAGAAAGAGGCTTCACATGCTGCCCCCACCACAATCTTGCAGCTCCCACTGGCCAGAAACTAGCCAATGGGAGCTTCGTAGGCTGTGTCTGCAGCACAGGCAGTATGCAAAGTGCCCTCCGGGTGCATGGAACTCAGAGAAGCACATGGTCCCCACAGTCAGTCGCTTTGAACAGTGTGCAGGGATTGGCAGGCCTGAGGGACCTCCTGGGCTACTGGCCAGAAGCCATCTAGGCAAGTGCCTCCTGGCAGGGCCTGCTCCTGGCATCCCACCCATCATATCATACACCAATCCTCTTCTTCCCCTCCTGCACTCTTGTCCAGGTCACAACCCTAACCCTCTGCACTAAGGATGTAAAAGACTAGTCGACTATCTGATAAGCAAGTGCTTATCAGATAGTATTTTGTCTAGTTGATATCTCTCCCCTTTGCAGCCTCTATAAAATATTTTAAAGAGGCAGCAAAGGAGGGGGGAGGGGTGCTTCAAAGTGGCACCGCTGCACAGTGGCATTGCCACTTTGAAACCCCCCGGCGGCTTTTCAAAGGGGCAGCCACTGCACAGCTGATCTGTGAATCAGCTGTGCGGTGGTAATGCCTTTAAAATGCTGCCTGTGCACTTTTCTAAGGGGTAGCCGTGGAGCCAGGAGTCAGCTGGGACTCCTCAGCTAATCCCAGGCTCCACTGCCCCTTTAAAATGGGCAGAGGCTTCCCCTTTGAAACTGCCGCCTCTGCCCATTTTAAAGAGGCAGTGGAACCCAGGCCCAGCTGGCAAGTCCCAGCTAATGCTGGGTTCCCCACAGCAGCAGAAACGGGGTCAGCTGAGGACTCCAGGGAAATGCGATGTGGAACCCAGGGTCAGCTGGGCACTCCCCAGCTGACCCCCGGCTCCATGGCTTTGAAATGCACAAGAGCCTCCGCTGGGGACTCTTGTGCATTTCAAAGCAGGCACCTGAGTGCAGCCTGGAGTCAGCGGGACTTCCCACTGGCCCCGGGCTGTATGCGGAGTTCTGCATTCCTCCTTTGAAATGTACAAGAGGGGCTCTTGTACATTGCAAAGTTGGAATGCGGAAGTGCCTATCGACTAGTTGACTAGTCAATTAACTGCATTTTAACATCCTTACTCTGCACTCCTGCTTCCATACCCCCTCCCGGACTCTGCACCCAATCCTCTGCCCCAGATCACAACCCAAACTCCTGCACTTCCTCCTGCACCCCTGCCACAGGTCACAACCCCCTCCCAGATCCTGCTCTCCCTCCAACGTCCCTCCTCCAGGATCCTCTCCTATACCGATACCTGCATCCCCTCCTGCACCTTAATCCCCTGCCCCAGGTCCCAATCCCTCACCTCATCTCAACTCCCTCCCACATACCACACCCTCTCCCGCACTCCAATCTCTTACCCTGAGCTCCCTTCTACACCCAAACACTGTACCTCCTTCATTAATATCATGGAAGAGTCTGGTTCTTGAGCACTTACCAAGTTTTTTGAGTGCCCCCCCCCATCAAAATTATTGCCCACTCCCAATCTAGATTACAAATTAGATGTGCTCAGAGACAGGATGTCTCTGGCTAATAGGTAGTTTACTAACTCTTGGCAACCAATCCAGTCAGTACTCTTGGCCACACTCAGGGTTACTAGGTATTAGAGGAGGCATGTTCCCGATGTGGGAAAGGCTGACAGTACTTACCCGGTCAGAGGTCTGCTCTTCTTAATTTCAAAGAACTGTGTCCCAGTGTGATTGTACCTGGAGGAAAAAAGTTAAGGGGCCATGCAGACTAGAATAGAGCTGAGAAGCCAGAGTTGCCCACATACTGCAATCTGCCTGGAGGAATCTTTTTGTGCCATCAAGGTATCGATTAGGTTACGCCTACACTACACATTTTTGTAGTAGAAAATATGCTAACGAGGGACTCAGCATAAATTGAGATCTCATTAGCATATTTTCTGCCATTTCTTTTTGCGCAAGCGGTTTTAGCACAAAAAGAAACAGTGTAGCTGCTTCCATTTTGTGCAAACCCTCCCATTTTGCACAAGATCCTTATGCCTCAAAGGGTTTTTGCGCAAAATGGAAGCAGCTACACTGCTTCTTTCTGCGCAAAAACCCCTTGCACAAAAAGAAACGACAGAAAATATGCTGAGACCCTCATTAGCATATTTTATGCGGCAAAAATGTGTAGTGTAGACGTAGCCTTTACTGTCCTCCCAGGGACCTCAGGATCCAGCAAGCAAAATACCCACAAAGAGAAAGGATTTCCATTTGGCTGTGCCTCCCATTTGCATTCTTTGGTTTGGGGGAGGAAGGAAACAGAGTGACAATATATTTCCCTCCCTAGTCCCAAGTGTACCTATTTATTGACAGCACATTTTTGCGTCAGCCTCCTATCCAGCAGCATAAGTTTTGAGGTTGAAACAAACCCTCTCTTGCTGCTGCCTGCAGGGGATTATGACCAGTCTAATAATGCCAAGGCTACCTTGCTTTGATGCTGGCTGTGACATATCCTAAAAGCAGCCCAACCCCAAGATTAGCAAAAAGGTGCTGACATACTCCCTTCCCTCGAGTCAGCTCCATATCCCATCAGCAAGGTAAAAATGCACTTGTGTTGCACATGGCCTCATCCTCACATCACCCCAGCACACAGAGCACGGGGGCATGTAGGAGTATTATTCTCAGGCCATGCTTAGACGCTAATCATCCACCTGACCATCCAAAGCAGGAGTGACTATCATGTTCTGGCCACTTACAGAGCAGAGCGCACCCAGTAAAATGATTCAGCATAAAGCTCATGCTCCCCAAACCCAGTACACCCAATCTTGGCAGAAGAGATTAGCATTTTCTAATCCTAGGCTTTAATTTGTCCCGGGCCCTCCCTGCAGGGTTAGGCAGGCACAGCAACTACCAGGGCCTTCAATTAACTATTCCTTTCAAAATATCCTACAGTATTTGAATTCACTGTGTGTGGCTTAAGGAGAATCTATTACCGTTTAGTTTGGCCCTGTAACTATTCTGTTGCTGGAGCAAAGGCATTAACCACAGGAAACACAATTGGGTAGGATTAGAATGAAACAGCAAAACCACTCACTCTCAACTTCAGTTTCTTGCTTTTAGGAAACAAGTTTCATTTCCCCTTCTGGCTGAAGCAGAGTCAGCTGTTCTCTTATGGTCAGCTAGGAGAAGGTCTCCTTGCTTCCCCTTCTTGGATCATCATTCCCTGGTGTTTGTGGTAACAATGAAGGATACTGAAGCTCCTTGATGTAGCGCTGTATGGCTTCCAGGCGCTCAGGAATGGGGGTGGACGGCTGGAGCGCAGGCACACTCGGTATAGGAATCTGAACAGGGGAAAGCAGAGTGAGTCACAGAGCAGATGTTTCCTGAACCTGCCAGTCCTTTTGCCGAAAGCTTTGGCACATCACCACAGAAAATGCATTCCTCTGTCACCCCACAAACTAATCCCCTTTAGCTGTCCACCCGAGACAGTCCTTGAATTGACAGCCACTTTTTCTTCTGTCCTCAAGTTGACATGCTGGAGGAAATTCAGAGAAGAGCAACACAAAGTTGGCAGGAATATGGAAGGACTGTTGTTGTTTTTTTTTTAATGAAAAACTTAAAAAAAAAAAAGTCTGCAGAACTTATTTAAGTGACAACCACAGAGGAACACAAAATAGTCTACAAACATCTAAAGAGCATACATACAAAGGAGGAAGATGGGTGGTACATGGGTATAAGACGGGCATGGATTGAAAGTTTAGACAAGCTCAGTAAATTCTGAAACAGAAAACCGTATAAGGGCATGAAACAGACTTCTAAGGGAAGAGGTGAAAACCCCAACTCTTGGTACTGTGAACACTAGAAAAGAATTGGGAATGAACTTACATTGGCAGGGGGTGGACTGAATAAGACAATACGGTTTTTCCATTTTTAGACTTCTATGATTTTTAGTTACACAACTGGAATTTGCAAATATATTACCCAGACTATTGCCTTCATTCTGCAGTCTTGGCCTCCTGGATCCAGCCAAGCTTTCCTTTCCGTTTATTTGGACGTCAACATTTACAGCTTTGACAGCTGATAAGAGTTATCCTAAGAAAGGAGAAGGGTCCTGTCTGCCCAGCAAAAACAAAAGACAGAGCTGGACTCACAAACAGGGCCAAGGAAACACTTGGTCTCTCATTGACCATGAAAAAATAGATTTGTTGCGACTATAACAGAGAAATCTGTGCCACAGCTAGGGATGTAATAGTATAGTCAATTACCAGTAAGCAAAAGCTTATCAGTTAATCCTATAGACTACACCCCTCCCCCAGTAAATTTTTTAGCAGGCTGGCCAGCAGCCCGGTTCAGTCCTGGCTTGTGCCGGGTATGGGACCTACCCCTGCTGCAGCTCTGTATTTAAAATGTATTAGGGGCCTGGTGGGCAGGCAGCCTGGCTCAGTTCTGGCTCATGCTGGGTCCAGGAGCTTAGACCCCTTCCTCACCCAGAGAGGGGCTGCTGCCACCCCACGCTGCTGCCTCTGTATCAGAGGCAGCAGTGTGGGGCAACAGGCAGCCAGTCTGTGATGGGAGGTAGTTTTTAAACTCCCCTCATGGACCAGCTCCCACCTGGCACCCCATACTGCTGCCTCTGATACAGAAGCAGCAGCACAGAGTGCTCCTCGGGAGTGGGGCTGGAGCACACTAGCCGCCAGCCCCACCCTCGGGGACTATAGAATAGTTGAGTAACCAATAAGAATTCATGAGGTTAATCCACTATTCAAATAACTGATATTTAACATTCCTAGCCACAGCTTCCCCAAGTCTACTAAGCAAAGTTAATGCCTTTTGCTCATGGATTCAACCTCAAAGCCCCAAGCTCTGTGTTGGGGTGATTGACAACAATGTGTTCTCTGAAGAATCGAATTGACCCACTCACCCCTTAACAAAGTCAATCAGAGACAGAGCCCTCCCTCTGTCTTTTCATTGTATTTCATATTGTCTACCCATTTAGTCTGCAAGTGTGTGATGGGAAAGAATGGCTTTGCCTATAGTTAAAAGTTTAAAACACAGTTGCAGTAGTGCTTTAAGCCAAAAGCGTAGCCATGCCATGAGTGCTGGAAGAGAGCTCTCCCAGTACTCCATGTAAACCACCTCCATGAGGGGGAGTAGCTAACAGCGCGAGGGGCATGGCTCCCACCACTGTAGCCTGGTTCAGATTGGTGCTTTACACCCTTGAGCCAAAAAGTTACAGTTCTGTAAAGTGCCAGTGTAGACTTAGATGCAGTTTGCTGCGTGGAGCTCCAAGCACTGACAGTATTTACACAACAGCAGGTAGCTGTAAGATATTCTAGGTCTTTATATTCTCTCTGTATTGTTTGATAAAGATGCCATTTTGTGACTGGTGCCAATTTCCCAGCACCTCTCGGGGAGAGGAACTGTGACCGGACATAAGAACCAATGAAGTGTGCCATCTGTTGTCTTCAGTGCCTTTTGTGAGTCGATACCTCACCTCAGTCCCCTGCTGGGAATGCGCAGAAACCTGATTTTCTTCCATGCAACCTGTCCTTGCAGGAAGCATTGCAAGGGAGGGGAAGGAGAGATGCAAGATCCCCAGCAGTTTGCGCTCCTAGCCCCCTTGAGAATGATGTAGGGAATTCGGCTGTCTCAAAACTAATGCACACTAAATTGGTTTAGAAGCTATGAGTTAACATACTGAGTCACAGGAAATTATTCCCAAGCAGAACGAATGAAAGTCGTAAAACCAGGGCAGGCTCAGCATTTAGACTTACCTCATTTCTTCAGCGGGTGATTTCTGTCGGGTGTTTTTTCAGAGGCAGGCAGCTAAAAATTTACTTCCTGGATTCCAGTCAGATGCATATTAACAACATAAGTTACTGGCTCTTTTTAGTTACTTTTCTCTCTGCTACTGGAAACTGTTGCTCACCCTCACATCCCCTTTCCTTGTGAGGAACATGCAATCTCTGAGACAGTGTAATGGAACACATTTCTCTGGGGAGCTAATTAATGTAGAAGCAGCACTTTAAGTAATGAAGCTATACTCTAGCTCTCAGATCTGATCAGGATGCCCAAACTGGTCCCCCTCATCTCTGTGCTGAACGGAGGAGAGATGACAATACTGAGAACTGTGCATGGAGGATGCTGGAGTAGGCCAAAGAGTGCAAACAAATATCTTTGTGGGCCTCAAGGAGGAGGATGCAAATGTACTGTAAACATGGAAGGGAACATAGAAGTGGATTACCTTACCCATGGTCACCAACAATTTGGTGGGATAGCAACACATGTTTCCTGGGGCCTGCCACTCCAGTTACTAGAACACATGCTCCTGCAAGGTTGGGCACCTTACCCATTCCGGTCTCCTCTTATGTGCATGTCTGGGTTACATCCCAGCACTTCCAGACTCATACACACTGGGATTTTGCACTGGACTCCTGCCAGACACAACTGAGTCCCAATTCCATCAGTACAGCCTGTCCTGGGAAGGGAGCCTGGTGAAGAGCTGAGATTTTTATGCTTAAAATGAGCCATGCAGAATGAAAATAAACCAGACAGAAGAGAGGCATAGAGCTCCCTCAGAGAGGTGGTGTTTTAAAGACTTAAAAAAACAGTTTATCTTTTCATCTTACTGAGGCATTAACTCAGATATATGATCTACAAAAATGTTGTACACTAATGGGTGCTTACCCAGGTAAGTGTCACTATTAACTCACTCAGAGGAGCAGCCGTGTTAGTCTGTAATTTAACAACAAAAAGTTCTGTAGTACCTTACAGTATGCCTACACTTGCACCTTCTTTCAAGAGAGTAATGCAAATGAAGACATTTAAAATTGCAAATGAAGCCAGGATTTAAATATCCTGTGCTTCATTTGCATATTCATGTTATGGCACTATTTCGAAATAACAAATGCTGTTAAGACGCGGTTATTTCAAGATAAAATCCTTCTCAAAATAACCCTTATTCCTCAAACCAGTTATTTCGAGAGAAGGGTTTTTTCTCGAAATAACCGCGTCTTAACTGAGTTTGTTTTTTCGAAATAGCGCCATAACGTGAATATGAAAATGAAGCACAGAATATTTAAATCACGGCTTCATTTGCAATTTTAAATACCTTCATTTGCATCCCTCTCTCGAAAGAGAGTGCAAGTGTAGACATACTATTTGAGACTTTCATACATTAATCGTGAGCTTTCATGGGCAAAACCCACTTCCTTTTATTTCCTATTATAAATTGTGAGCATCCCCCTTTTTCCTCTCCATTCTGCTCATCTGAGAGAGGGGATGAGGAAATGTTAATTGTAGTGCCAGTGCTTAACGAGGCCAATTGAGCAGGCTGGAAGTGTCGCATACTTAGTTTTTGATGTCAATTGGGTGTTGAATGTAAGGAAAGCAGGTTTTATAATGGCCCATCCACCTCACAACTTTCTTCAAGCCACGAGAGAGAGTGTCAAATTTGCATATGATGGACAATTCTGCACTCTCTATAGTTGGTTTATGAAATTCCTTGTAGAAGAATGGCTATTTTTAAACCCATCAATGAGTACCCAAGTAGGCTAAAATGTACTGCTATAGGTTTCTGTGTATTACCATTTCTGGTATTGGACATGTGTTCATTTATTCTTTGCCAGAGACAGTCCAGTTTGGCCAATATACATGGCACAGGGGCATTGCTGGCACTTGATGGAATATGTCACATTAGAGGATATGCAGCCTCTGATGTTGTGGCTTATGAGAAGAGGCTGAAGGAGTTGGGTCTGTTTAGTCTGCAGAAGCGAAGAGTGAGGGGGGATTTGATAGCAGCCGTTAACTTCCTGAAGAAGGGAGGTTCCAAAGAGGATAGAGAGAGGCTGTTATCAGTAGTGACAGATGGCAGAACAAGGAGCAATGGTCTCAAGTTGTGGTGGGAGAGGTCCAGGTTGGATATTAGGAAAGACTGTTTCGCTAGGAGGGTAGAGAAGCACTGGAATGGGTTACCTAGGGAAGTAGTGGAGTCTCCATCCAGTTCCGTTAAAAGCATTTTCGGAAAAACACATCTAGATTTGTGGAAAAGCATCCTGCCAAAGCACTTTTTGCAGAAAAGCGTCTATGGCCAATCTAGTCGCTGTTTTCCCCCAAAAAAACCCCGATCGCCATTTTCGCGATCGGGGCTTTTTTGCGGAAAACAGTTCTGTGCTGTTTACACTAGCCCTCTCGAGCAAATGATTTGCGCAAGAGGGCTTTTGACTGAACGGGAGCAGCAAAGTATTTCCGCAAAAACACTGACGAACTTACATGAGATCATCAGTGTTCTTGTGGAAATTCAAACGGCCAGTGTAGACAGCTGGCAAGTTTTTCCGCAAAATCATCTGATTTTGCAGAAAAACTTGCCAGTCTAGACACAGCCGAGGTGTTTAAATCTCGGCTTGACAAAGCCCTGGCCGGGTTGATTTAGTTGGGATTGGTCCTGCCTAGAGCAGGGGGCTGGACTTGATGACCTTCTGAGGTCTCTTCCAGCTCTATGGTTCTATGATTCTATGTGGTTAGGTCCTGTGATAGTGCTGCTTGTATAGATGTGTGGACAAATTGGCAACAGGGTTTACTGCAGGAGTAGGTTCCTGGGTAAGTATGTCTGTTAACTATGTCACTACTGATCAAGTCATGTAAGACAGTTAAAGGGGAATCATGTTTTGAAAATCTACACCAGCCTGTGATGAGATCTTTTTCACTGGAGTAACACCGTTTTCTCTAACAAGACTCAGAACTCAGCATGCCACTGTGGGAGAAAGAAGCTCCAGCAGATCACCAGTAGTGCAACATACTGCAAGCAAGTACATCTCATTGTAGTGTCTCAAGGTATGGAGCTTGGAACAATATCACTGTTTTCACCACTTTACTGATACTCATCCAAGACTGGATTTTGGATTAGGTAGGCCACTGGGCTGATCAGTTACAGCAACTCCTTATCCCTCTCAAGGTCCATTCAGCCTCAGGAACCAAAGGCCATCAGCTTTTCATAGGAGCCAGCCCTGCTGAGCAAGTGCAATATACACTTTCCTCTGCAATATTATTGCCAGGATTCTAATCTGTTGCATCAGTTCTTCGAAGAAACTACACCCGTTTCTGTACATCCCAATATAAATGGTGCTCTGAGATATGGGAACATCACCACAGGCAAAAGTGGGCTCTTTCCATTCCTTATCCCAATCCTTCCTACCACATTCTCTCCCCTGCATTCCCTGTAAAATGCTGAGAGACTGAAGCAGTGAAGCAGTGAGTTCAGAGGACAGAATGCGTTTTGAACACAGTGCACAAACTGTACTACTATGCAATAGTGCTGCAGGTACCAGAAACAGAGGCTTGACCCATGCCACTTGCCTCCACTGGCTGTAGACCCTTGGCACTGATGGTGCAGAATACAGCTGCTTCTAACAATGGAAACTAGCAGGAATACTTTGAAATATGATTGCAATGGAGGCTACACAGAGTCTGTTCCCTTATGCCTCCCTCTTTTCCCCTGCTCAAATCAGCTGATTTTGCTTTGTGCAGAGGACAATAAAATTTCAGTCAAAGACATCCCCAGTTCTGATCCAGACCATGCTTAGGAGACAGAAGAGAAACAAGATTTGGAGTATGTCTCATGATTCAAAAAAAGGGGACTGGACCCCTAAACTCTTAAGTTTCCTTACTGGCTCTGCCACAGACTTCCTGGACGAGCCTAGGAAAGTCACTTAATCTTTTTGACTCAGTCATCTATATTTGTAAAATTGGAAATAAAGGATAGTTATAAGAATGAATATTTAAGAAGCACTTTCAATATGAGGATCTAAATATACCCTAGATTTTTTGCCAGAAGCCATACATAAACAAACATAGCAGTATCTACAAAAACTTTCAGGGCCTACACACAAAGGACTCACCATCAAGATTAAGTTGCATGATCTTGGGTTCCCCTTTTCATAGAATTCTGAACAGTAGGACCAGAAAAGCCATGAGATCATCTAGTGTGACTTCACTTAGCAAGAATTCCCCTTGTGGAGAAGACTGTTCCTCAAATCTGATATGTCAATTTTATATGTGTTCACTTTTTTTGATTGTATCCCTTTGGTATATATGGTCATGCCTGTTTTCTTCCATAATTTGATCTGAGGAAGTGGGTCTGGCCCACGAAAGCTCATCACCTAATAAACCATCTTGTTAGTCTTTAAAGTGCTGCATAGTCCTGTCTTTTTGTTTCAGCAAGACCAGACTAACATGGCTATATCTCTATTACTATTCCTCATGTTAAACTTCACATTGCCTTTTATAGCCTATAGCTTGTTCATTATAATTACTACTCAATCTCCACATCTCAAGTATTTCCCCATCTCAGTCATAAATCCCTGCTTTGCTCTCCTTTTCCCCAAGATGCAGTACTGAGTTTCCTTAGCCACCTACAATAGGTCATGTCAGTCACCTTGTACTCTTAGCAGGCTACCCTTCTGGATGATTTTTAATTGCAAACTTTTAAGAGAAGAGTGTTCAGGCCCATACACAATGTTTGCAGTGCAGCTGGAGCACTGTCACCCTCCTCTTTTAAGCAAGGCAGGCTGCCTCACAAACTAAATCTCAGATGGGTATTCTGTCTCAGAATCCTGGCTTTCCCCCCTTTTCTCTCAGCTTATCCTGGACCTGGCTTTTTGCTTCACCACAAATATCACCACAGCAGTTAAATGGGAAAACTCTATTAAATCTAAGCCCAAATCCCAAACAGGGCAGGCGAGTGTGTCTTCCGCGATGTGAAATCCCAATAGCTTACACCCTATGAATGTATTTCATTGAATGAAACCCCCCACTCCAGGATTACTGATCTGAATTTCCATGTTATATAACAAATCCCAGTTTCTGGCTGAAGCCATGCCATTTATTAGTATCAATTCTTTCAAGACTTCTCACCTTGGGTAGGTCGGTGGCTCCTCGAATTCTTTGTGCCACCATTTCTCCCTCGGGGTGGATCTTGGCCACGTGTTTCCACATTCTCTCCCAGGTGGGCTCATCAATGGGTAGCCCTCCTCGGTTCACAAAGAAAGGCACTCCGCCGTCTCGCAGATCTTCATCACCATCATCTTCCTGCTCCTCCTCTCTCTGCGTTGCCTCTTCATTGGCCTCAGGGCGTCTGGTGGCAGCAGCGCCACTGCCTCCTATTTTGCCTCCCGGCATCCCAGCCTGCACCTTGGAACTCGGTGGCCTACAGCACAATGCCCACCACCCCCCTCAGTCTGCCAGAGACAGAGCGGCACATGGCAGCATGAGAGCAGAGGCCCTTTAAGGGAAAAAGGGTGTGGCTCATTGACATAAGCACAGTGCACTATCGAGGTGTATTTTAGCCAGCAGGAGGCGGTTTCCTCAGGACAAAGCAGGGCCCAGATGAAGCAAGCGGAGTGGCACTGAAGACACAGCATAGACGAGGCGTTTTAAAATATACGGTCACCCTCGGTCAAGCAGGCAGACCCGGACGGGCTCAGAACATTGACACGGTCCGGTTACAAAAAAGTCAGCAAGGGGCTGTATATTCAGATCAGGCCGCCCACACGGGACAGGCTTCGCTGACCTAGTTAGAGATTGCCAGTTACACTCAGTGGGAGCAGATCGATGAAGCGCTACACCTAGGTGGAGCGAAGAGGCAAGGGCAGAGCGCGGCTGATTGTTCATAGGCTCCTACCACTCACAGCGTCTTGGTGGAGGAAAATTAACCCGGTAGAGATGCTGAGCGGGGAAACTGCAGCCATCCTTAGACAATAAGACCATTAAACCCAGCAGAAGCGAATGGCCAGGAAATAAGGCAATGAGGCCTCCAGCCTTTGTTTTCTCCTCGGGCGGAGCGAGCCGTCCTGGGGCAGCTCTGGATGCTCAGATGCCCCCTCTGCTTTCAGTCCAACTCCTGCCTGCTCCGGCTGGGGCTGCTGAGCTCAGGAGGGGTCACAATGCAACAGGGGCCGGCGGCCAGGGCCCGCGAGGCCGCAGCCCCCCGCGTGGGGACGAGGGG